CCATACACAGATTGGTTAACACGATATGACGTTCAGGTGGCCATACACAGTTTGGTAAACATGATTTAACGTCCAGGTGGCCATACACAGATTGGTTAACACGATTTAACGTTCAGGTGGCCATACACAGATTGGTTAACACGATTTGACGTTCAGGTGGCCATACACAGATTGGTTAACACGATATGACGTTCAGGTGGCCATACACAGATTGGTTAACACGATTTAACTTTCAGGTGGCCATACACAGATTGGTTAACACGATATGACGTTCAGGTGGCCATACACAGAATGGTAAACACGATGTAATGTTCAGGTGGTCATACACAGATTGGTTAACACGATATGACGTTCAGGTGGCCATACACAGATTGGTTAACACGATATGACGTTCAGGTGGCCATACACAGAATGGTAAACACGATGTAATGTTCAGGTGGCCATACACAGATTGGTTAACACCATATGACGTTCAGGTGGTCATACACAGATTGGTTAACACGATTTAACGTTCAGGTGGCCATACACAGATTGGTTAACACGATTTAACGTTCAGGTGGTCATACACAGATTGGTTAACACGATTTAACGTTCGGGTGGTCATACACAGATTGGTTAACACGATTTAACGTTCGGGTGGCCATACACAGATTGGTTAACACGATTTAACGTTCAGGTGGCCATACACAGATTGGTTAACACGATATGACGTTCAGGTGGCCATACACAGATTGGTTAACACGATATGACGTTCAGGTGGCCATACACAGATTGGTTAACACGATATGACGTTCAGGTGGCCATACACAGACTGATTAACGTGATTTGGCAAACAGGGGACTATACACAGTTTGGTTGACGTGGATATGGTACACCTTAAATATTTTTCCATAATTATACATTTAATATAATTTTATTCTATTTTGTTGGTCAACAAAATAACGAGGTCTACCAACTTGAAAACAGTTCTCGAATATTTCGGGATTAAAATAGCGATATTTGGTCACCTATAAAATAATGATCTATCAAAACTAAAATATACTACAGAATAACCCATGTTTAGAAATTGTCCAAGGAAAAGTTAACGAAGTATCACCCAGCCTGCGTTGGCTGGTTCCGGGCATGGCCTAGCTCTGACGCCACCAACGTCAAAGGTATTTCTAGTTGATGCCCTAACTTAATAATTTTACGCAATATTGATGCCATTACCTGCAGGTATCCATTAACTGTATGTATTCATTTGTATTAGGTAATATTAATGTAATCAGGTGATCTGTCGTAGATTTAGGGCTTACGCTTTCTGTCAAGCTCGTCGCGGGCTATCTTGGTTCACATTTATAATAAACACTCACTTAGGTGGTGTAACTCAATCAAAATGGCGCGCCAATCTGAAAGAATGTCTTCCGGGTTTTAAGACTCGTTGATCAGACACGTTTTTCTGATGTATAATAGATTATATTGTGCTCCCTGATATATAAATACAACCAAACAACTGACGCATATATAGTAAAATTAGGTAAGTTTTGTTTTGATGTTTACTTTGATTGATTAAGCGGGTAAAAACAATAGTTATTATCGGTGCTGATTTTCGAACACAGACTCTCCAGCTCGTAAATAAATTCCCTGTTTCCGGAAACCCTAGTTTATTTTATGTAAAATAGCACAAAATTATTCATTTCTATGCAAATTAGGTATGATCATTCTATCTGTCCCTTTACTATAGAATAGAATAGAATAGAATAATGCTTTATTACACGTTGAGTGGAAATCCCGGAAAACACTAAACCAGTTGAAAAACACTAAACCTATTGAAAGAGACTAAACCTGTTGAAAAAGACTAAACCTGTTGAAAAAACACTAAACCCTTCGTAAAGGGCGAATTATGGATAGGGTTAGGGTTAGGGTTCTGTTTCATGTTTTCGCTTTCTTTTAATCAAATATTCACTGGACGATTATGGTACACCCATAATACACCCTTTACCTCGGGTTTAGTGTTTTTATTGTCAGGTTTAGTGTTTTTCGACAGGTTTAGTGTTTTCCGGGGTTTCCACTCAACGCACATAGATTGCTATTTTACATCACTGCGACTAAAAGGTGGGTAGTTATTGCATTCAATTTGTTAACAAATATGTACAAATACTAAATAATGGGAGGTAGGTGTTTCATGATTGTAATCGCTTCGTGGACAGTTGTCGCTGACGATGGTTCCAGTGCCAAAGACAGAGTGCTCGTTTACTAGTGCAGTGATGTGATGGTGTGAGCTGCAGTCCGGGTGCTATGAATTGGGAGATACAATGTAATCAGCAATCATAGCTAGCATATAAATTGTTCATGTTGCTTCTAAAATATGCCCGACAAACAGCTCGTCGCAGTTTAGTCGGTCG